AAACAGTGTTTTGTGTACATCTGCCAACTTGTACATGCTTGCAGCCTTGTGTGCACGTATTGTGTGTGTGTGTGTGTGTGTGTGTGTGTGTGTGTGTGTGTGTGTGTGTGTGTGTGTGTGTGTGTGTGTGTGTGTGTGTGTGTGTGTGCAGACATCTGTTTATATCATATGGCTGCTTGGTTGGCCAGCTAGTACCAGCCCAGTTGGAACACATAATATGACGAAGCGGGACGCCACCGATTTCCTCAGCAGCAATTAACACGTCTGCTTCCTCAACAGACACACAGCAGGTCTGTCTGTCTGTCTGCCCCTCCGTCTGTCCGTCTGTTCATCTCTCCGTCTGTCTGTCCGTCTGTATGTCCGTCTGTCTGTCTGTCTGTCTGTCTGTCTGTCTGTCTGTCTGTCTGTCCGTCTGTATGTATGTCCGTCTGTTCGTCTGTCTGTATGTCACAGAGCAAAGGAAAGGGCAAGCTGTCTGGAGCAGGAAAAAGCAAAAACTGGTGCCAGAGCAAAGTCAGGCGTTCTGGCTAAAAGAATAGAGAGACAGAAAGTAAGTTGTGATTGTTTGTCCTGTTTCCAGCAGTAAAGCAAATTATATTTTTGAGTTACATCTGGGTGAAGACAGTCATTATGATTGTCTACAAACATAAGAGAGAAGCAATGCTTTCCCGCCCATAACTTTTTCTCTTTCATTCCAACTTCAGTTGTCTTAAATCCATTGAGCATTTTAATAAAGACAGAAGCACTGCTTGTAATAGACTGATGCATGATAAATACCTGAAAGTCCTGGTGGTCCATTCTTTCCCAGTTTCCCCTCCTCTCCCACCTCTCCAATCGCACCTTGGTCTCCTATATTAGGAGAAGAGAGTATTTTAAGAGTGATATGGAGGAAATGTATGGAGAATATGGAGAAAATGTATCCCATCATGCACAGTTTTAAGGCAGTGTGCCTAACTGGATTGCTTCCAGAGTGGCATGGAATACATCGGCATATTCCCAATTTCCCACTCACTGCTGGTTTGGATGGAAATTAAAGCCATTGCAGTATGATGATACAACTTCATCAAAAATAACTATTGGCAAAAAAACAATACAGCACAGCACAGCAGTCTGTTGAGTGATTATTTGTTACACGTTTCAGTGTAAGCCCAGTTGTTGGTTTGGATGCAAGTCCTATTGTAAGGTTCAACATCAACCAATGATGTTTAGAAATATTTTTTGACTCTTCATTTTTGTCCAAGCCAATATCTTTTATAAAGCACTTAATCATTCAAAGTATTAGGGACACAACATATTTCTTGGAGTTAAAATCACATAAGAGAAATATCTCTGGTGGGTCCACTGCTCAAAGAGCTCTTGGCGAGAAATCTTGGGAGGTTTCAGAGTGTCTATTAGAGCTGGAATGATGCACTAGTTGTTGATGCCAACAGCAATTTATGTCTTGTGCTAGGCTTTGAAATAAAGTAAAGGATTGTAATCGAACACCTCCATTAGACTTGAGGAGTACTTAGGAAAAATAGATTATTCAAATCCGAAGGCTGTGTGGAAGTTTTAAAGTAACCTATATTTTTAGCAATTTCATACAATTTCATGCAATTTCTGACTACAAACAATGATTTCCTTTGGTGGACTACATGGCTCACTTCATTCTGGGAAGCAAGAGGCTTTCCATGTGTCAGAAATGTTCAGATTTGTGTAAGAAAGCAATAGAATCACTTTTTTCACAAGTAAGAGAGTTAATTCAAAGTGTCTAACTTCATAAAGACACTTTTTATGTCTCAAAAAAATAAAATCCCTGTACTTCTATTTAAAAATGCCAGAGTCAAAATAACAGTAAATGCAATAAAAGTAGGTTTGTTGGAAATGTTTTGGGGGCGTGAAACATCCAATGAAATGTGCAGACGTGAGGATACACACATTTAGAGGCTGACTGTGGTCAGCAGTATATCTCGGATGAGTCTTGAACAAATAATCAGTTCAGTTTAGTGGCAGCTGTCTAAATACACACCGTCACAATGGGACTTTCTTTTGATACAGAAAATTCTGTGGAAACTTGTCAAAATGTACACTCACTTCCCAGTGGCTAGCAGAGTGAGTGTGCATGTTGACTGCTGAAGTAACTTCTCCCTAATTTGCGTAAAAAGAAGAATTAAAAGCCATGTTTTTCAGTAATATGAATGAAGCTGAAAAACTGTTGCTCGGCCTAAGTGTGTATTTTATTAGGTCTGTCTGTCTGAATCAGCAGGGGATCAAGCTACTGGATGTCGTAAAATGAAAAGCACACACGGAGGCATTCCCTCCAAAAAGACGACGGGGTAGCAGACTGCAAGCTAATAAACTACAGGACATTACATGCTTGCTACCTTTGTCATTAGCTCTGTTAACCCCGAAGCAAAATAGGGGTGTCTCCTCAGAATTTTCCATTTTACACAAATACTGTTTTGGCCATCCACATTATTAGATATAACACATACATTTACTGTTGAGCCATGAACCTCCAAATGTCTAATTTCCAACAGTACAAAAACATGTTGTTTAAAAACTGCAATGTCAGGTTCAAACACACACACACACACACACACACACACACACACACACACACACACACACACACACACACACACACACACACACACACACACACACACTTACCTTTCGCTCCAGGTAGCAGGGCATTGGTGCAGACTTCTGTAGAGGTAGAGATGTAGTTAAACACGGCTGCAAACACACAGAGTGCCAACATTCCCATTATATTCCAATCATCCCCAACCACTGAAGAAAATCCTGTTTTTTTGTTGTGTACGATGTTACAAGTGCCAAAGTATTGTCTGTGTAAAGTATCTCATGCACCCGAATCCACAGATCGACTGAGTTTTTCACTGTGAGACCGGAGGATCAGTGCAGCACTAATGAGCAAAGACACACACACACACACACACACACACACACACACACACACACACACACACACACACACTCACACACACACACACACACACACACACACTTG